TGATAGGGAGGAGAACAGGGATGCTGGAGGTGAACAGAGGTCTGAGGAACAACAAGGACAACAGACAATGACAATCTGAAGAAGTCAAGCTGAAGGGTGTGGAGGAGCCAACTCCCACAAAGAGAGTTCCAAAAACACCCTCCACCCACAAAGGAATCATACAGAAAAGGGGGCACATTTCACTCGAATAAATATGACACATTGCATGTCCCTGTCGGCTGCCACCTCAGAGGACTGCAAAAGATTCAGGTCTGCATTTACCCATGAGCAACCACAGCAATGGTCCTCCTCTTGCCAAATGCTTGTGCTTTTCTTGATGGACATCTTCCTTTGAGGACTTCTTATGTTGTTTAAAACTCACTTCTTTATTTATGAGGTACAATTTCATATTTTAAATGCACATAGAAAATTTGCCCCCAAAATGCCTTTTGTCGAAAATTAAAATACACACATGGAATCTTGCCATGCTGTCAACAGGGATTTTCTCTGTGTATGTGCACACGTGCATGTATGCGCACAAGCAGGTGCATGCACACAAACACATGCACATTCATACCTCCGCTACAGATCTTCTGGAAGAGGACTGTTCCCCTACGTGTCCTCAAAGGGAGAACAGAAACAGGGGGAGCGCGCAGTGCTGTCACACAGCCACACCATACTCCGCCGCTCCAACCTCAAAGACAACCAGCACCAACAGCAAAGTCCCATCTTCCCACAGGTCCTCTCCGCTCTCTCCCCCTGTCTGCAGGCACCGTCAGGGCGCAAGGCTGGGCCACCCGTCTTTGCACTGCTCTGATGACAGTGCCATCGCTTACAGAGGGGGAGGATGGTGTCTTCAGAGCCTGGGACGTGGTGAGGGGATTTTAAAAGGGGTGCTCGAGACAGCATCAGGATTTACTGATACTGTTCTGTTGAGGTATTAACATCGCAACCCTGCTCCAGACCTGGGTTTGTTTCGTTATCTCGTCTTCCCACCCCAAGCGAATTTGCTGAGCAATTTTAAGAAACAGAGAAAAAGGCTGTGACCAATTTTCAGGCCTTCTGATTTAGCCATTAAAAAAAGAAAAAAATCCTACGATGTTTCCCTTTTGTTTTTCTAAATAAAAATAATATATAGCCCTAACTTGATAATAAATATGCTCAAAAGCTGTCCTTAAGTAAAAGCTTTTGATAACAAATTGCCTGTGCTAACTGCTATTTTACTGTTGAATTTTTTATTGTTGCTTAAGCACTGCAATTATGCTAATGAGCCTGAGAGGATGGTACACTAAAGCATTGAATGTGACAGATATAATACTCAATAAAATGTTAATCTTACCTGAAAATTGGAATCAAACAGCCTTATTAGTATTTATGGAAATGGCATCTCCAACATGTTTCTTAAGAGGAATACGTATATATGCAATAGATATTTCCAAATATACCCTGCTATTTCTCATGCCTCCATATGATTTAATTCAAGGTGGCTATTACCTCTGTTGCTAATTGCCAGTCCCTTTTGGAATAAGAAAAAAGAATGTCAGTGTCCGGGCCATGCAAAACTCCCGCGTATTGCAGGGCTTTTCCCCTTGGCACCTCGAGGATGGCAGCTATCCGTGGGGACCGGGACACCTCTCCCCAGCTCATGGCAAGGACGCTGGGCTTGGAAGGGTGCAGCAGCACACAGCAAAGGCATTGCTCTGCCACACTCGGTCATCTATTTTCCCCCAATATCTCTAGTTTTGTGTGCAAGGCAGGTAAATCCAGCAAGGGGTTAAGATATTTACAGGCGCTGGAGAAACAGCTTTTGGATTTTAAGATGGGACTAAACACTAATTTATTTGTTTATTTTGTTTTTAAACTTTTCAGCCTATGCTGACAAGGAACCAGGCCCATCTGTTTCACTGCAAATTACGGCGTTGCAGAGCTGGACCCAGAGCCACTGAGCTGTTGCAGGGGATTTGTCACTGAGGTGCCGCATGACTCTCCCCAAGTCGCATTGCATTTTGCACCGTTATTTCACCACCCAGTCCAAGACTGATTTCTCAACTGATGGCATAATTTTTTCAGGGAACAAGCTGCCTTTCACCACATGTAGCTTTTTTTTTTTTTTTTTGGCCAAACCTATGGCTCTCAGACCCAACCTCGGGGCTCCACTGCTGTGTACTGTCCTGTGAGTAAAAGGAAGAGGTCTTCAACACCTTCACTTTCTCATCTACGAAAGGAGGAAAAAATAACCTCAGAAGAGCCACATGCTTCTGACAAACTATATTTACATCCATGACCAGGCTCTGTAGAGAGACCATTTCTACACAGCGGACTGGTGCGGTTTTCAAACACTGCAGGTTAATGCTTAAATAGCAGCTGCTGGCTCCCAGCTTCACTCATGCTGCTCTCACCCACAGAAGTCAATTCTGCTGACAAGACCACAGAAACATCGATAATCACCATTATACTTTCTGACAGACAAGCAAGATTCTTGCCGCCGGACGCTGCAAGCCTCCTTGGTGGCAAACGTTAGGTGGGAGACGTCTAGGAACTGTTTCGATTAATAGTCCCAGCAGGGAAAACCCCACCAGCTGCACACCAAAACCTGCGATTCCCAAAGCGCACAAAGATCACAATGAGCAACCCACAAGGCGCTACTCACAACACACCAGGACGTGCTGGGACTTTCTGGAGCAACGCTTGCAATGCACACCAGCTTGCACTCAGAGTGAAAGGATGGAGTGAAAGGATGGAGTGAACCAACAACATTGCAGGACTCAGAGCTTAGAGCAGCTCCACAAAAACCCCATTTGCAGGTGTAAGCAAGGAGCGCAGCATTAGAAAAAAAGGAATTTGCAGTTGCAAAATCAAAGAAAACTACATAGTTAACTGAGCTTGCACCTCGGAGAGCTGGGAGACGCACCTCAGGGTTCCTCTGCCCCAAGTTAGCCCCAGCATGAGACACCAGACGCCAAATTTTCAGGCACAGCCAGCAAGTTAACCAGGCACATAGCTGCAATGTGCTGCGGGACTGTAAGGCAACCACTCCCATAGAGGTGGCAGGACTCATCTCTGCCATGTTAAGTGAGTCTTGTCATTATTTTCAACCCTGCAGGGAAATCTAAATTGAACTTTGGCATATTGTTTTCTTTTGCTAAGCAGCAACGCTTGAATGTTAACTCCGGTCCTGACAGTCATATTTATGGAGTATTCTTTGCAAATAATCTTACCCTGACCAGTCCAGAAGGTCAGAATAAAAAAAACCAACAACAACAACAAAAAAGCAGAAGGCTGTAAAACCATCACTGCCATTGGCACAACCCCTCAACTTATTAACTGTCCTTGCAACAAGGTGAACAGCAAGGTCTTAGATTTATTTGATTGATTGAGATCAAAAGATCAGGGGGCACACAGTAAATTTTATCTTTCTATGAACGCATTTTGCTTTCAAGATTTGAGCAGCTAGTTGCAGGAATTGAAAAGCTCAAGAGGAAAAAAAAAAGAAAAAAAAACCATGTAGAAAGGTGACTTCAGAAAGGCATCCCCTTATTTCTCTCTTGACATGATCTGCATTTCTTAGAGCTATTTGAAAGTTTCTTCCATGTTTCTATACCCCTGGGACATAACAGCTTATCTCTGCTAAGCAGAAGATGATAACGAACAGTAAGACACTAGTATAACTCCAGGGGAGACACCAGTATTTGCTGACATTCAGGACGAAAGGTAAATATTAGAGAAACCAAATGAATCCCAAACAAAGTCCAACAGGAGGTTGAAGAATTTCCCATTGAATTTTAGGAGTCCTAAGACACAGGACAAGTATCTCACCATCCTTCTTAATCGGACCAAGGAAGATGAGGCACCCGAACCCCATTCCTCTCATGATGATGACTCAGAGGCTGCCTGAGCCCAGGCTAGGTTTGTCATTTGCAGCTGCCCACGGGAGAAGCAAGGGAATTAAATGAGCAGCCATCTTCAGGACATAATTTCAAGACCCAGCTGGTGAGATAGCATTTTTAAACACATAAAAAGCCTGCTGCATTCGTTGTCAAGACAGGACAATGAGACGCAATGGAGAAGAGGAACAGAAGAACAAGAAAAGAAAAATTAAACTCTCCACCATCTCATCAGCCCCTGGAAACAAAGAGGAAAAGTAATCATTTGGTTCCTGTCTATGTGTTCCACATGATACTCGTATTTTGCTCAGTATACCTGTATCTGTGGCATTGTGTTCTTACGTCACAATACAATAGATGAGATGACCCACCTGAGAGTAAGAGTAAAGCCCTTACATGGATCACAGAAGAGACCCAAACTCCCAGGAACTTGCTACAAAGGAAACAGAACTGATACAACCTCCTGTTTCTATCACAAGTTTACATTACATGCCAAGGACTGAGGACTGAACTCCTTTTCCATGAGCTTACACTTCCCTCTAGAAGAACACCACCATTCAGGCAGCAAAAACACTGACCACCTGAGTTAACTGCTGTTGCATCAAAGCTCATCATCAGACCAGGCAGCTCCTTCTGCACAGATACACTGAGCTTTGCCTTTTACTTTATCAGTTTTGAATAAGTTTAAGATAAGGATTTCACATTCTCCAATTTCTAACCATCAACAGGTTAGGAGGGCTCTCCAGAAGTCATCCAGTCCACTTTGCCACCACATGGAAGGATCAGTTGTCCTAAAAGCACATCTCATGGGGCTTTGCTAACTTGCTCTTAAACCTTTCTAATGACTGAAACTTCCTAAGCTCCTCGGGCAATCTACCCCAGCGCCCAGCTAGTCTTAATGCAGGAGATCATTTATTAATGTCTCATCTAAACTTCTCTTGCTGCAACTTAAGCTCGTAATTTGTCTTATTTACAGTGGACAGATTTACAGTTTATTCCCTCTCTCCACAAGAAGTTCACTATTTCCAAAATTTACAAGCTGAGGCACCAGTGTGGCTTGTCCTCTCTCTGCCATTCTGCTTCTGCTCAAAGCACGTTCTTAATCTCGTGCCTCTGCATGCGTATTTCTTTTCTTACCCCGAGAGAACAGGCAGCTAGGATATCACAAGGCTGTTTCAAGAGAAGACGCTCACATCCAAAGGCTGATGCATTCAGGCACACCCAGTTACAAAGTATTCTGAAACAAGAAAAAGAAAAGATTTGTCTTTAGGGTGGTAGGCAGAGGGTCCAGTAGTAAGGAAAAACCAACAACTCTGAAGTACAATTTCTTCCACCCCATTACTTAACATTCAAACAGATCTTCAAAAGCAACATCAATGACTGCAGATACATCATGTGCCGCCACTCAAACTTGGCCACGTTTTCTCTGACAACCACCATAAGGGTTTGATAAATCTGTGTTCTAGGAAACAAAGTGCTCACTATCTTTTCAGAAAGTTCTGCCAAGCTATAAGCAATACCCAGCGCACATCAAAATCAGATGGCTACGACTCCAAAGCTTTATTAACTGTGACAGAGGACAAATCTTTATGTTGCCACCAGTGACGTTATTTACAGTGTCACTGAAGCCAACAAGGGCAAGACATCTAGCCTACTCTGAGATTTGAGTGTGTGTAATTATGGGATAGACCCAGAGGAGAAAAGTCAGGTCTGATAAAAGATCAAGTAACTTATGTGTTCACAACATAGTCCTTACCTCCCAAAATTCAGGATGTTCTATCTAGCAAAAAATAATCTTTCTCCTGAACCCAAGGGTTTGGTGACAACGAGGAAACAATAAAGAAGAGATTTACATGAGCAGTGTTTGGAAACACAGGGGAGAGCTCTGAATAACAAAAACATCCCAAATTTCATGAGAGAGAGCAAGCAACAAAGGAGAGCAGCAATAATACATTTGCCATCCTACTTTTGGAGGCTCTCAGAAAAACAGAGCTAGACGGTAGCAGACAATTTGCCACAACAGCATCTTTCACCAGTGGATCACCTTTTGCACCCCATCTTGTCTAAATTCCTGTCTACCCTTAACAAGGGCTGCTACTAGCCCCAAACGATCAAGTGGCTTTGTAACAAATATGCCTTTTCCAAGGGCTGAAGCCAAGAAACACTCAATTTGCCATCTGCTGTGAAAACAAGATGCCTGTTGCACATCTAAAAATGTGCCAATGCAACAACTCAGTGTCTTCCCTCTTGCACGTACCATCCATCTGACTATCCCTTTCGCTACTGCACTTTGTCTATCTCCAAGTTTCCACTTGGGATTTTTTTTTTTTTTTCCCCATTGCAATCCTTCTCAGCTGCCCTGGGCTTTTGCTTTCCTTGATCATTTCCACTCTTACCAATGCAAACGCTTACAGCCAGCACAACTGCTGTCAGCACAGGAAGGTGACACACTCCTATTTAGCACAGATTTGATAACAGAAGTGCCGTTTCCAAGGCTAAAGAGGAATACCTGCACCGATAATGTCCCTACAGCAGCATACAGTAGCTGAGGAGACCGAGCAATAAATGCCTTTCACTGAAGATGAAGAACTCAAAGTAATCTCAAAATGTATGATGGCCAACTAACAGAAGAGTTTAAATACATGCCCATCTTGAAGGGTGCAAGTAGCTCCAAGGACTTCAACAAGATCATCTGCAGCATCAGACACGTTGCCTCCCCCAAAATACTAGTGAGATAAGGATATTTAGCAAGGGACAGAGATACAAGGAGTGCTTCCACCAAGAAAATACACCCATTTCTATGGCTGAATTACAACAGCTGTTGAAAACCATGAAGTAGCATTGAATGGCAGCCCAGGACAGGGAGCCAAGAAGACTACCACATGCAATTGAAACTGCCAAGGGATTAAGTTAGGTCAAATGTAATTACATGAACTGGAACCTGGCCAGGGTACTGGCTGGTTTAAGAAAATTAAAAGAGGTGTTCAAAAGTTTCAGAGATGGAGTCCTCCTCCTGTTAATTATTTGGTGAGTCAGTCACTGAAGCCTCAGTACTCTGGGAGGCTGTCTGAAAAAGGGGAAAAAATGAGGCATAAACTTGAAAGGCATTAGAAGCGATTAGCAAAAGCCTTTGTTCTCCATGGCAATCCTTGCTGCACTAGTGCGTGAAAGCCTTTCATGTTCATACTGAAAAGTGGCCCTAGTTCCTTTGATACTTCTGGGAGGAAGCGTTTAAATTTACAAATATCCCGCTGTCAGAAGTTACAGATAACAGTCAAGGAACTTCTGCGTACCCCAGCCAGGTCGTACCCAGCTCTCAGGCAGTCAGTGCTCAAGGGAGGAATGCAAACAGGGACACATAGAAACTCATTGAGACCTGGAGCAACTTGCTAGTGGTGTATGAAAGCCAGGTCATGTGGAAAAGGAGGTTGCAACCATGTGGGACAGTGGCTTCCTCACCTTCATTCAGTTTTCGGAAGATGGGGAGCATGCCAGGCAGGCAATGGTAAGGAGACCAGAAAGGATGCTTCGTGGTCTGGCAGTTGAGCGTCACTTTGAAAGATTAGATCCTGTTTATGCCTCTGCCATAAACCTCCTGAACGACAAGAGGAAAGTAACATATATCAAATTTTTCCCATGTATTTATTGCTGTGCCTTTTCTGGCTAACTAAAGACACAGAAAGACCACGTCCAGAAGAGACAAGAAATAGCAGTCGTGGTCTGAGATTCTCTGTTCAATCTCTAATTGAGACTTGTACTATAACCATGTACAGCGCTACAAACCATGAAGTGTTCTGAAAAAACAGGCCTTGTAAGTCTCAGTTTTGGCACCTGAAAATAGTAGATGCTTCTGCTACCTCTGCATCTGAAAATCATCATTAGAGACACACTCATTACTGTCTTTGAAGCAGTTGGATGTGACAGTAAAAGCAGTACAGAATTGGAGATTAACCTTTTTGGGTAGCTTATTCAGTGAAATGTTCAGAAGATGCACATTAAATAAACCAATTTTTTAACTGATGTGAAAAAAACAGTAAGATTAAATAACTATCTTCTCAACAAGTGCCATAGACCAGGCATGTTGAGTGACATGGTTTCCTCTCCAAGTGACAGCAGGTGAACACACAACCAAAGGCTCTGCCATATTGATTTCGTGCACTTTTTTTTTTTTCCTTTTTCAGAAAACAAGCCAGGAAAAGGCAGACATTTCACAGCACAGATCGGTGCAATTTGTGCTAATGGCCGAAGCGTAGATGCAAGCAGCAGCTCGCTTCTCTTCATGTGGAATAGTCAACAGGGACAAGTTCTGGTGGGACAACTGCTACCACAGCACACCTTGCCCCAGCCCAGCAACACCTCCTCTAACACACAGCTTCATAACGAGCAGGGCAAGAACTAAGAGCACAGGAGAAAGTCTGTGCTGTCCTGCAATGGTGCGCAAAAACTAGGGGAAAGCAACTGTGGAAAAGGTTGCAGTCTCTGCTGACCATGCGCAAGCTGTCGCTCTTCCAAAATGTAGTCAAATGCTCTTCCAGATAGCAAAACCACAAATGCCCTAAATCCTTCATCCCTGGCACTCCTCTGACAGGGCAAGTCACTTCTTTGGCATCCTCAGGCACCACAGAGACAGCAAGGACACAGATTTCTTTTATAAATAGGAGCAAAACAGTACTGCAGTTCTTCCCATTCTTCCCAAACACCTTCCAACCAGCCTCCTCTGAAGCAGCTCCACTGCTTTAGCTGGAAGACCTGCAAAAAGAGGTTTTGACAGAACCGTAGAATCATAGAATAGTTTGGGTTGGAAGAGACCTTTAAAGGTCATCTAGTCCAACCCCCCTGCCGTGGGCAGGGACATCTTCAACTAGATCAGGTTGCTCAGAGCCCCGTCCAACCTGACCTTCAATGTTTCCAGGGAGGGGGCATCCACCACCTCTCTGGGCAACCTCCTTCAATGTTTCACCGCCCTCAACGTAAAAAATGTCTTCCTTATATCTAGTCTATATCTATCCCCCCCTTTAGTTTAAAGCCATTCCCCATTGTCCTGTCACAACAGGCCTAAAAATACCCATCCTCAAGCTGTGCTCAGACGAGATCTTTGACAGCCTGTTACAAATATCTAATCCACAACTGCCTAATAATTTGATATTTCAGGCTGAAGATCATCTTCTATGCATGGGCAGTAGCTTCTTTCTTCACATCTCCATACATGTTGTTAATCACTCTGTGCAGGATAATTATAAGTCCAGGATTCACACACCTCACTTTGTCCATCTCAGACTTAGGTCTCCAGTCTCATCCAGGTCTACAGTCCCACAGGAGCCAACAGCACTCATTGACCCTGGGAACCATCCCAGCAGAGACCTCGCATGAGAAACCAGAGCCAAACTGGTACAAGTCAGAGAAGATTGTAAGCAGCAGTATTATAATGCTTTTTGAGTTTAAAATATTCAGCAAGGTCAACACGGAGAATGTGGTTATTCCCGGGTCTGTATAGGCCCCAGGCTATACGCACCTACAGCACCATCAAAGGCAGCCACCTCTCTCTCACCGGGTCTCTGCAGCAGAGCCACCAGCAGCTCCTGGCCCTAAGCACCCTAATTAGCAGAAGGTGGAGAGGACACTTAACGATGATGTCATTGCCCTGAACAGCAGCATGCCTCATCCCTTCTCCTCAAGTCAGGATGAAAAGCCATGCAGCGCATCGCCGTTGCAAGGAGCACTCACCCCACTCCTCGACGCACGCCATCGCCAGAGCCACACACGGGCACCGCTGCCCATAAGGGGAAAGCACAGGACTGATGCTACACAGACCACAAAGAATATATATTTTTCAGCACGACCGCACACACCAGGCCAACCCACACAGCAGAGGCTGGGGAGAGCAGGGCAGCCTGAAGGGTTTCATGTCGAGGAGGGACCTGCTGCCGAGCAGACAAGGTGGCTGAGGTGGCCAGAGCGTGCAGGGGGAGGTCTCCCTGCGGCCCTCCACCCTGCGGCCGCGGTGATTAGCCAATACTGATAATGGTCTCTAGTGTCTGAAACAAAGCACAAGGAAATGGCGTGGAAAGGACTAATGCCAAGCGGTAATAAAGACGGAGTCAGGGATGTTGCTCAAATAAGAATTTTTTTTTGCCTAGGTTACTTGTTGTTAAAAAAAAAAGTTTCCGCATGCAGGGACATCCTGTTCACTGTATTAAATTAAAGGGATGATTCAAGAAGGAACAGCTTTCAGTAGGCATGGGGGGAAATCAATTTCAGGTTGCTACGGACAACTGGGGCGTCTCCTGTAAAACTAAATCGGATTCAGCTCTATGAACCTGAACGCTAAACATTCCCTGAAATACACACACACACACTCTCTAAATAAATAAATACAATAAAATACACTCTTGTGTCATCTCCTGGCTTTTTTTTTTTGCTGAACCAAGGACATGCTCAAACCTGCTAATTACTGCAAAATACAGGACTGGAGTTTTGGCTCAGCAGTGGCTTTCTGACTGCCAGTTCAACACTGACTGCTGCCTTACAGGGGAAAAGATATTTAATGGCAGGGTGGCATTTGGCAAAATGAAGAGCAGCCCCAGATTCGCCTCGCTCTGGGCCCTTTTGCATGCCCTGGGCTTGCAGCAGGATCTAAAACAATGTTCTGCTGACCCAGGCTCCTCCAGAGCTCAGTTAGCAAGGGCCGGAGAAAGCTCAGCCTGGGGCTTTCAGGCATGTCCTAGCTCATACTGGATGGAGGCAGTTTAACCTGCCGGTGGTCCGTGAACAGCCTGAATAGAAACAACATCCTCGACCTGAGCAGCTGACCTGTGGTCACAGCAGCCGGGTAGGAATCTCGCAAGGAGGGACCACTGGGGACAACACGGTGGCCGTGGTCCGACGGCTGTCCTCTCCCCATACCCTGCACTGGAATTATTTCAAACAGGTTTTAAGCACCATCCCCACTCCCTGCAGCAAGTAAAGATGCGCATGCACAGGGCTGCATCACCTCCATGCCTGTGGGACGTTCTCCTCCAGCACACCCTCCATCAGCAGCCCAGAGCAACGCACTGAGACCCCCTCTGCAAAACCACAGATCCCCCAGTCCTCACACCCCCCTGAGCGAGGAGGGCAGGGAGCGATGGCAGCCCTGGGAGCCTCACCACCCCTCTGTGCCGGGCACATTAATCCCCATGGTCCTCAGGAGCCATGGGGAACTGGGAGCTTGGGAGAGACATATAAGAAAGCAGAGGCACAATTTGGTAAAGATCAGAGCTACCGGTCAGGAGCTGCATCAGGTTCTTGTGGGTTGGAAGGAAAAAAATGAAATCAAGGGGGGGGGGGGGGGGGGGGGGGGGGAGCCGGGAATCGGGCAAGGGATGACTGTGCTCCATGTGTGCAAGCATCCGCTGCGGCACGGCCTCTGGCAAGATGCCATGCTGGAGCCGCATGGCTAGTTATGTTCCTATAGTCACATTGAGGTCAGCGCCAGCCGTGCAGCATCCTTCTGCATCACAGACGGACCCAGGGGACAGACATCAGGCCATCATGGCAGCCCGCTGAGAAAACAAAGGGTAACAGCTGGACATCGAACTCCAAACCCCTGGTCAGAGAGGATGGAGCAGAGGAGATGAGGCATCTGATGTTGTACCCTTCTCCAACAGCTGTTAAGCGACTGAATAAATCCATCTAGATCAACCTCTCCATCAAGACAACAGGAAACATTCCCATCCCACGATACTGTAAGTCTTACTTTTATGGAGTAGTTATGTTTTTCCAGTGAAACGTACCATTAAAATATAAGATATTTTTAGCAAAATCAATGATGTGTGCAGAGACAGTCCCTCACGGCTTTTAAAAAAAAAAATCTATGAATAATTATAAAACTGATAGCAATACAATTGCAACATTGTGCAATTATTACAGTTGTTTTACAGGATTCTCTAATAATGATGGCCCCTACTTCTGGTAAGACACCTTAAGGCAGTACCACAAAAAACATAAATAAAGAAAAAGCAACAGAAGCTCAGCATTCCCCTGCACTTAGAGGGTGCAAACATGTTGCCTGCTTTGTGTTTATTGAATTACTTTTTTTTTTTTTCCCCAGCAATACAATAACATTCTGGAAACAAAAACACCACAACATTTACAGAAACATTTACCAGTCGCCTGTCTCTTTCTCCTTCTCCACCAGTTCCAGTGTTTTGTTGCATTAGAAAAGCAGCTGGGGGAGATTTACTTCCATTTAAACCTAGCTAAAATGGAAGAAAGAGAGAGAGGCTGTGACCTTTCAGCACCCACAAAATGCATGATGGTCCTTAACCATGCACCCAGGTCAGGCATCTGCAGCATCTGAAAACCTTCTGCAAGCAATACACCCACTGGAGACACAGGAGTGGAGTCACAGAATCATAAAGGTTGGAAAAGACCTCTAAGATCATTGAGTCCAACCATCAACCCAACACCACCATGCCCACTAAGCCATGTCCCTAAGCGCCTCATCTACCCGTCTTTTAAATACTTCCAGGGATGGTGACTCAACCACTTCCCTGGGCAGCCTGTTCCAATGTTTAACCACTCTTTCAGTAAAGAAATTTTTCCTCACATCCAATCTAAACCTCCCCTGGTGCAACTTGAGGCCATTTCCTCTCGTCCTATCGCCAGTTACTTGGGAGAAGAGACCGACACCCACCTCGCTACAGCCTCCTTTCAGGTAGTTGTAGAGAGCGATGAGGTCTCCCCTCAGCCTCCTTTTCTCCAGGCTAAACAACCCCAGTTCCCTCAGCCGCTCCTCATAAGACTGACACCCATTTTCCCCACCAGGCTCACTAGCTTCCCACAATGTGCAGCCACATCTGACCCGCAGCTCTCCAAAGCTCTCCGAGCTCACAGTCCAACTTGTCAGTGAGCTCTGGGTAACATGCAAGGAGCACCATTAAGTCCCAGGTATTGCAAAGCACTCAAGAATGCGCTTATGTGAAGTGGTGCCAAAAACCAATACCTCCAATGTTTTGCCTTGCACCCATAGCTATCCATTTGCAAGAGCCTAAGGTCCACTCAGAGAAAAAAATGGAATCTCTTTACTCCACCTGGCTTTAAACCACCTCCGGATGCAAGGGGATGGATGAGGAAAGAGTAACAAGAATACCCAACAGATGTTTTCATTAGCATAAATTTGCCATTCATTCCTCTTTCTTCTACCATCAAACTGCTCTATTATCCTCGCTGGATAATTTACAGTGCTTGTTGCAAAGTACAGTCACTGAGAACAGAGACAGCATACACTTGGTAATGTAGAAGTTCAAAGAGCTGAGCCATGCATGACCTGCAAGCAGATTGTTGCTATTTCCTTGCATGTATAAAAGGGCTTCGCCTTCATGCAATGCTGGAACTTGTCATAATGAAACACCCTCCTATTACAACATGGCCCAGAGGAGCTACTATTTCGGGTCCTAATAATGTGCTTGGTTTTACAGGAAAGCAAGAAGGCAAGTAACATCGAACAACCCAGCTGTCAAGTAGAGAAACAGATGGGATCCTCACAAAGCTACACAGATTGCCTTAGCCAAGCGCCGTCACAGCCCATCCTCGAGATGGGAAAGCATGGTGCAGGAGCTAGATGAAAGGAGCTTGTGAAATTAAGCAGCATCATCACCTCCAGAAGGCCTGCAAAGCAACAATAGAGAATTGCTTTCCAGGCACTCTGATCCCAAGGCAATAAAACATGACTCAAAGTTGTTAGGCTGTTTTCTCCCCTACTAGAAATGCCTTTTGGCCGAGTGACAATTGCCCAAATTCTCCCACCCGCTGGGCCCATAGAGAGCATCCACAAAAAGATGCACCAGGAAGCACAGGTCATGTCCATGGTCTTGGAACAGCTCTCCCTTCAGAAGTGAAGCACAAACAAGGCTGGCTGGAGGTGTCCCTGCTAGCGTGGCCCCAGGTGCTGGCAGGCAGGCCGCCCGTGTGCAGGCAGCGCCGTGATTCACTCCACTGTGGCTTCCAGTCCACAATTTGGCTTCCAAACAATCTAGGAAACCACAACACTTGCTGTGGCGGG